GAATCTGAATCTGAGTGCACTCTGGCCGCACCCTTAGGGTACGGCCAGAGTGCACTCAGATTCAGATTCAGATTTAGATTCCGAAAACAAGCGCGAGAAATAAACAGTGTAGTTAAAGCAGGGTGGCCATAGTGGCCGCAGGCAACCTGCTTAAGCTGCAGGGCAGCGCCATCTCTTCGCATTGTAGGTAACCCACAATGTCAAATGAATACTTTTTCAAGTATTAAACATTTGAAAGAAGAAATAGAAATTATAGTTATGTTTTTATTTATTTTTTAAGCATTTAACTGCTAGATGTTTAAATCTAAAGAAAAGTTTACTAGAAAAAAAAAACTATAAAGTCGTGACATGAATGTTTGAGGAACATTCATGTCACGACTTTATAGTTTTTTTTGTAAGACTTTATAGACAAACTATACACACATCACAATTAAGGGTCATCCCCACTCTTACACCCTAGATTGTCCCTGCGGCAGGCATGTCAGTTCAGTAGGCGCTTTAAGTCCAAATTAAAAAAACAACATGGCCGTTTTGTCATTTATTGGCTTGGAAGTACCGTAAATTATTGCCAAGCTAAAATAAATTTAAGAATGCGCTCCGAAGACATTTAATATCTGTGATTTCGCCGTCACACATAGGTGTTACCATGGGTATTACACAAAGTATTACAAAAATGGACATGTAATGAAATAGTCCAGTCGGAATAAACATGAGACCTATTCTAAGACACCAGCGCTTAGCCAATTTTTTCCTAGATAGTATAGACCCCCACGAATATGCCCTTCATTTGTCCCCGCTAGAACCCGTGTTTTGTAGCCAGGAAAATTGTTTAAACAAAAAAAAACCGGTTTTTTTGACAATTTTTTTGAATCAAAGTTGTTCATTAGCTTGCCCTCTACAAAATCAGTGCTATGAAAAAATAACGTGAGATTGTTAGTTTAGCAGTAAATTGCAATTATGTCGGTTTTACGTTTGCAACAATTCAACATGTTATAATAAGCATTTTGATTTCTAAAGTAGTTTGTCATGTGGGTAACGCCACTCCCAAGAGAGTCATGTAAAATTTATCGACCTGTGTCGCAAACTTTAGCAACAATTCTCAATCTCCGAAAAAAAAGTACTTGCCTGTGCCGTCTTTCCCAGAAGGCGCACAGCGGGGAAAAAATTCAGGTGATTCGATTCACCAAGAATTTTGAGGAATCGATCGAGTAGAAAAAAATCGTTAATAAAAATGTTCGTTTTTGGACGATTTGAAATTTGAAAATGCAACAGGATCTACGAAGAAATCAGATGGGATCACCTTTCATCTGTAAGTTGTACATTTCCAATCCATTTTATTAAAATATTAAATTTAATTTACGTAATATAATTGTCAAAGAAAATCACGCGTCCATTTTGTTAGTATTGCCACAGAATAATCGAACATTTTACCCAACTTTTTTATAACTTTTAATTTTATTGATTTAATTACAATTATTATGTGTTTTTTTTATTCAGGGAGCCGTTTGCTAAATAGTATAAACTGCGCGAGTGTTTTAATACCATTTATGTGCGGATAATTCATTCAGATAAAACTAATATAGCCATTAATTACTCAGTTTCAAAAAGATATGCCAAAAAGGTATGTTGAGATTATAACTTTAATATTAAAACATGAATGTAGTCAAATATGTTCGTCACATTACGTTTACTAGAAATATTTTCACTTGTATTAGTTTACTTAATAAATTATGTATGTGCAAACTACAAAATGTATTATTTCATTCTACCCCACCGTATTATCCATGGTATAGCCCTATCAGCATACCAATTATTGAGCTGAGTCCAAGATAAGTTTCAGTAACAACTTGTGTAAATAACTCTAGATGAACATACTTATACATACATATATATTTTTTGTAAATACATACATAATATGCCAAGACCGAAAGAGGAGTAAAAGACCAGACTATGCAGATAAATAAAGTGTTTTTCAGAAAAAACGGGCCCTTTAATTTTTTTTCTACTTCAATGAATATAACAAGAAAGGGGTATTATAAAAGTTATCTTTAATTTTAGTTATGATACTCACATCCAGTTGTCAAATTTTGTTCCTATTAAATTAAGTCAAAAGGAATGAATATATTTTACCTATTGAACGTTTAAAAATTACCATTTGACATTACTGTCATATTATACATAAAATTTTTATTTTACCCCAAAAGCGGTAATGTTATGTTGCGCTGGTAACACTACGCGGGTGGGTGCGGCGCGGGCGGGGGGTTGTTTTGGACACAATGCGCTCTGTACAAATAAGACTAAATGCTCCTTCTGGTTTGTTCTGTATTCTGAGGATACGTTATTATGGTTCAACTCGGTCAGGTTTTCTACCAATTTTGAATTAATTACTTCATGTCAATAAATTATTGTTTCTATTCCGTTACATATTTTTTTACTTTTTTTCAGGAAAATCAGAGAGTCGGATAGTCAACGAAGGTTTTAAGAATGATGGAAAGTTTGAAATTCCTGGGAAAACAGGCAAGGCTGACCAAAGAAAGATATGGTCACATAAAGAACCATGGCCAGGTGCTTTTAGTGAAGATACTTATCACTAATTTTACCAACTGCACATTTACAAATTGTTTCTCTAAATAAACTTTTTATATACTATAAAATGATTTTTAGTATTATTTTCTTAATAAGTGTGTTAAAAAATGTCGTATGATGAATCTTATGTGTATTGATGATTACCTAACGTCTCAATGGCACCTCAGCGGTAATCACCAACATTGTACACAACACTTTTACACTATAAAGTACTATTTTATCTATAATAATTTTATTCTGATTCAATTAAATATGCTTGGCTAAACTTTTTATAAGCATAGGTACTACTATTTAAAGGGTGAAATTGAATGTTTCTATGAAACTTCGTGAGATTGATGGGTTACATGTATAGAGTATGCCTGATTTTTTTCGGATTTTTTAAAATAATTTTTTTCGTTTTTTAATTTTTTATTTGGTTATTTTTTTGTCATTTCTTCCTTATGAGTAATTATTCATTTTAAACACGTCTACATAGAAGTTATAAAGCAACTTAAAATAAGCACTACTAAAAAAACGGAAACTTAATGAATGCCTTCATTATGCCTCCAGTCGAGATCATCGCCGGTCGGGGCGACGACCGGCGGCCGCCTGTAGGTACCTAACTACACGCACAGATGACTCGGCGCTTACCTACTCGCTTTGATCCACACTATTTAAAAACAATACAATAAAATAGTCTTAGATGCTATATTATAATTATTTATTCACTGATACACAATACCTTTGAATATTATTTCATAAAGCACAGGTAATTAATCAATAAAATAAATCTTCTTAAAATTAAGAGCAAATCGGTATAACTTACGAGCTTAGTGAAGGAAGGAACTCTTCGTGTCTGATTTGCCCACGTCATGAAATTCCGAACACATTTAATCACAGCCACAGTCACACATACACACACACACACACACATAATAATATGTTGTTTTGCGGCAAGCACGGGCGGGCGGCGCGCCGCACGCTGGCAACTAGCGCCGGTTGCGGCGTCTTTGATGATGTGAATTCCGCCCACCTCCCCTCTTCCCCGCACGCGGACGTTTGCTTTGATTGCATGCAAAACGCAGTCGCAAGTATATCAATCGCGCGTGAGCGTGCGCATCTTTTGACTTGGTGACATACACTGTGATAATTTCATTATGCCTCGGTATACAAACCAAGAATATTTAGAGATGGTGTACTGCTATCGCGAGTGTGACGAAGTAGGTTTGGTTTACGAATGAGTCCCTAAACCATAGAAGTTGCATTTTGTGCAGTGAGTAGTGATAGGGACACTTTAAAAAAGGTGAAAAGACACGTCCGCAAACAGGCAACCTTTGTTTGCAGCAAAATGGTGGTTTAGAGCAACAATTTTGTAGATAATAATTTAAGTCTCTTTTAAGTGTAAATACTTTTTGATTAGAAACAACTAATTGTGTACTACCAGTGTGATTGATTTGATAAAAAGTTCTAGTGAAAAAAATGAATATGTTCCTCGTTCCTCGTTGTGCCTACCTAAATCGCCGGTCTCGTAAGTACTTTTGAATACTTGGTTATAAATTTCATTCTTGGGGTATTAAGCAATAAGTATTTCTTTTTGTTTAACATTTGCCTATTTCCAATCGTGACAAAATTATTATTAACTTTTAAAGTTTTTCTCTGCTTAAGAAAAGATGACATTTGTGCTTATTATTTCAATTTCAATAAAGGCATCTAAGACGATTTTATTGTACCTATTGTGTGGAATCAAACGAGTCAGTTGAGCTCTGTGTAGAGTTAGGTAGCAACGGCTGGCGGGCGCGGTCGGTCGTTGACCCGCGGTGGAATTTCAATGTTTTTCCGTTTTTTAGAAGTGCTTATTTATTAGTTGTTTTTCACTGGATATGTAAGTTTGTTTGTTTAAAATGAATAACTACTCAAAACGAGGAAAGGACATAAAAATACACAAATTATAAATAAATACATGAAAAAAATATACTTCAAAAAAATCCGAAAAAAGACAGGCATACTCTATACACATAACCCAACAATCTCACGAAGTTTCATAGAAACATTCAATTTCACCCTATATAAAACAGAAACAAAATACGACTGTATAGTGTGTCTTATTAATTACCTATTTTACTTGAATGAACTGCTAGTATCAAAATCATTTTGGTCAGACTGTACAGGGTTGTTACATGCATACTAGTGGCGCCATCATTTAATGTCACGACTTTATAGACAAACAGTATAAATACTTTTTTCAACAGCCCAGCTGTAAAAATATTATGTTTGGCAGTAAAAAAAATATGTCCTGATTTTAGGGCAAAATGTCAGGCCTTATATAGTGCGCAGTCCGGCCTTTGCATTTTATGGCCTGGCAACCCTACGCGCGCACCGGTGACATAACGGTAAACAATGTACAATATCTATCACAAAATACATGAATCTAGTGCTTGGCGGGTGATAACGTACCTAGTGCGGATTGGTTGATGATAACGGACCCAGCACGGATTGGAGGGTGATAACGGTCCCAACGCAGTTTTAGACTATAACGAATCCAGCGCGGATTGGAGGATGATAACGGACCCAGCACGGATTGGTGGGTGATAATTGACACAGTGCGGATTGGAGGGTGATAAGTCCCAGCGCGGATTGGTGGGTGACAATGAAGCCAGTGCGGATTGGTGGGTGATAACAGACCCAGTGCGGATTGGTGGATGATAACAGACCCAGCGCGGATTGGTGGATGATTTTGGACCCAGTGCGGATTAGAGGGTAATATTGGACCCAACGCGGATTGGTGGGTGACAATGGACCCAGTGCAGATTGGTGGGTGATAACTGACTCAGCGAGGATTGGTGGTTTTTTTTACTATCAACAAATCTTCAGGTTAAGTTAATGATTTTCAGATCATTGGAGCTAAAGAAGTTTCACTTCAGTCGTGTGGTCATAAGCACACTCGCTTTTTTTTTTTTTAAAATACTTGATTTTATGTACGAGGTTCACCTTAGGAATTATATAAAGCTTTTAATAACTAAACTCAAATTAAGATTATGCATTAAATTTTTTTTTCATTATTTAGTCCTAGTATGTGATGTTGGCTACAGAAGCATATTGATAGGGATCTGTTTTTCACCTTTATAAGTAGGCCTATAGCCAATATCATTGCAAAAACAGCTTTTTTTGTAATTGGGCCAAGATAGCTTAGTAAGCTATTAATGATTACCTATGATGAAGAAATATACCAGGAATGGGTATCTATTTTTAACATTTATTAATATGAAATGATTTTCTATAAAACATTTTCCATTTTATTCATAGTTTTTGAATGTTTTGCTGTATTGTTGATTATAATCTTGTTCTTTTCTTCTGTCCACACACCATTTCCAGTAAAATAGTGATTCTTCTCAAGTAAATATAAAACTAAACTCAGTTTCTGTGAATTGTTTAATTTGCTAATGTCAAGGCATTCATTCACTTGTCTTGTTTCTTTTTTATCATTTACATCCAATAAAGTGAGAATTTCCTTAATTTTACTCCAAGGATACAAGAGGATTGCACAATTCTCATAAATTTCTCTGTTATTAAATAACACAGATAACTGTTGATGAACATATTTCACTTGAATTAAAGGTATGTTTATCCAAAAAGGGTGTCTCCTTAATTGTTGCCGTATAACAGTCATTGAGTAACTACGTCCAAGTGACTCGAATATACAAAACACTAGATCTTTTCCTTTGCCTAATCTGTCACCAGGAGCTTTTTCAAAAATCTCAAAATGAGCAGAGCTCCCTGATAAAATATTTAGACTAAGACATTTCTTATTATTGCTATATAAATTCATCATTCTCTTCAAAGCAGTATTTTTGTAATGAATCATTTTTAAAAATCTAGGATGGCTGAAAAATGCATTAAATTCTGGTATTTGTTTAGCTTCTTCCAATCTTTTTCTTACAGTATCTGGCCCCAATGTATAAATATCAAAACATCTAATTTGTGCTTCATTACTTATTCCGTACTCCTCTAATACTTTCCTGGTTTCTACTAGAGAAGTAAAACTTCTTGTTGCTAGTTTAGGCCTCATCCTTAAAATTTCTCTTATATCAATGCCACCTATGGAACAAAAACTGTAAATAATCTGTTTCAAATTATCAGGATCTGCATGAATTAAATACATATTATTTTTCAATTTTTCATTAGATATCATTATTACTGATTGCAATAGATTTAAAGTTTCCTTGATAGCTTCCAGTGGACGATGTTTAATTGTAGGATATGTTTTGATGCCTCTGTAAAATTCAAATTCTGTCACATCAAGCATCAATTCAAGATACTTTTGAATAATATAAAGACGTAATTTGTACAAAGTCATTTTATCACTGTCACCACAAATGGAAGAAGTGAGGGCTGTAGGCCATTGAGTCATGTAACCTGCAAGTCTATTTTCTATGTTTACAAATGATTTAATAACATTCATTTGTTTTAATTCTCCAATGGTTTTGATCTTAACTATTTGTAAATAAGTTAATATTTGCAATGCTGAAACTTTTTCTATGCCACACTCATTCAACACCTTGTATCTATGTTTCAATGTGACTGGCAATATACTAAAAAGCAATGGCTCTTCTAATAAAATATCTTTAGCAAATCCTAGTTCTTTTATACTATTCGTCAAAGCTATAATCCGTTCATGTTCGAGTTTGGATATGACTGGATATTTCACAAGAATATGCTCTATTTTACTTTCATTGACATTTAATAATTTACTTAATAAAGATCGATGTGTCATAGTCGAAACAGTTCCCATTTCCAAATATTGCAAATGTAATTTAAAATACCGTGACCATCTTGTGGATTCTCTTAGACCCAAAAATATCCTAAAATTCATTTTGTACTGGTTTTGCTAGGGTTAAAACATAAGTTTTAACTATTAAAGCTAACTTATCTTTGAAATAACAGATCCTTTTACTCAAAATCATTTGTCAATCCAATTCAAAAAGCTTTTTTTAATAATTTTTCCAAAGATTTCACTCAGACTATTAAAAAAATTTGAATCTTTTTTTTAAAGATATTTCCATTTCAGGGAAGGCAAAGCGAACGATGCACATACAGCCAAGTCTTTAGTTTTATTAATCTTCGTTTTTTTACATTAGAATGTTGGTGTGACTCATTCTAATGTTACTTGAAGTGTTTGGCACGAAATGTATTGAGTTGGCTTTTCCAATAAGCTTCTGTGAGGTAGTCAACCCTACAATAAAGTTCTCACGTCCACTTGACCGGAATATAGGGCTGTAGCTATATAGAACGAAGCGTAGCGAGCGAATTTGAGGTAGGGCAGCATTGGTTACAGGCAGGGCGAAAGTAAAAAAAAAACATAATCACTTGATCTGCCCTCGGACTCGGAGCACGGACTCAATCTATCACCATGTATACTTAGAGCATTTACGACGTAAATGCTCTATAAAAGTAAAGTGATGGGGGGACGAAATTTTGTTTTGGGGGAAACGGGGGTTTTCTGTATAACATTTTTATATAAAAATAAAACCACTACATAAACTTTTAATCTGTAAAAGTCGTAATCGACAGTCATCCAACAGTCTCTCTTTCGTTCGAAGCTGCTGATCCAGTAAACTTAAAATGGGGGGGTGTTTTCGCAGTTGTAAACATGGAGGAGTTTTCTAATGAAGATTGTAAATGGCTACTGATAGTTGTCATTATAAATTAAAACGTAAGAGAATAGGCTAGTTGACTCATGTCGAATTGTATTAAATAAATGTTTATTTCTTAAAGTATTTTGTCTAAGGAACCTAAATATATCGATTTCACTTCATAAAAGCAGAAGATTGCTGTAGAAATTTAATTTAAAAAAACAATTTTTAGTCTATACTTTTTAAACACTAAAAACGCTGTTCGCCACATCCGCCATGATTGTGACGTCTGTTTTAGTAAACAACTAAATGTCATTCATACATAACTTTAAAACTTGTATTATTAAAACTGATAATAAATGAAGAGACTTAAAATATTTTTCAATGAGTATTTACATCAAAGTGATCTTCGCAAAAATAAATTTTACTATGCGTCGTTAAAGTTACAGGATCCCTTTTAGCAAGTTCTAACCAGATATTGCGTAGGTTAATTTCTTTCGGCACTTTAATCCACAACTTTCCTGGAGTCTTCAAAGATGTGTTTTTACATTCTCGTACAATACAATAATAATAATTACTATATTTTTCGTGGTATCTATTAGAAATCATGTTTTCTTTTTATTATAAACTCAGATGGGTTATTTTCTACGTGCTTACGAGTTTTTGTTTACTACTGTCAACGTCATAGCATAGATAATCTAATGACTAAAATGGCCGGCAGCGTTTTTGTATGTCCATGAAAAGTCTATTTTAAAATTAAAGATTTGTAGCTTTCTAGGTCTCAAAAAATACAATACATTTTTTTCGGTCTAATAGAACATTTATTAACCATTTAAAACCTTTTTCCAAAAAGGGTCAACTAGCCTATCGGTGTTCACGAAATTAATAGATTAAGGAGTGAATATGGGGAATACCACCATTTGTTTCCCCAATTAAAAGTCGATAGGAAACGTTTTTTCCAATATTTTAGGATGGAAGTGGAAACGTTCTACTACATTTAAAAAAAAATTGAACCTCACATGATAAAGAATTCGTGTAATTTGTACAAACACAAGATTCTTCCAGAAGAACGCCTTGTTATAACCATTAGTTAAGAATTTATTACAATATCACTAATCCGGATTTGATGGGACCAGACTGTCCGGATTAACCGGAAAGCTGGGTCTGGATTCGCGAGGGAAGTGTAATTTGAATAATTTGTATGGTTTATAGTATATATAGGAACAATGCATTAATAATACAAAAAACACTATGTTAATGAAATTATTTATAATGATAAATAACATTTTTTTATTATACACATTTAATGAGTATTGCATATCTAGGTTAAACTTTAAAATTTTAAAGTAAATATTATCCCTTAAAGTTATAAACATAGATAATGACTAATCATTTAGCAGTTTTGTTTATTATAAGACTTTATATATGTTTGCTCTTAGGAACTTGAAATTTCAATCACAGCTTTTAATTTACAATTTAGTGTACTATCACAAATATTATATTAAGTACTTAGAACTATACTTGTGTGTCGCGATGTGTCGACACCGTTCTAACTCTAACGATATGAAATGTATGAAACAATTCTGATTTGCACAAACACAAGATTCTTCCAGAAGAACGCCTTGTTATAACCATTAGGTAAGAATTTATTACAATCTCACTAATCCGGATTGGATGGGACCAGACTGTCCGGATTAACCGGAAAGCTTTACTTTATTTTTGAAATAAATATATTATTGTTGCTCTTTGCCTGACTAATATTATAATAACAATCTCTAATAATTTTTAAGAAAGCTTTTACTGTCAAAAATATGCTTTAAGCTAAATTTAGTAATTTCGCTTACTACGTATTTTTTAGAAATATAGTGTTGTCAATTCTGGCACGATTCTCTATATCTAAACTTAAATTTGACAACAGTCTATTCTTGTTATTCTCTATACAGAATGAAAAGGAGAGACGGATGATAAATTTAGTTTTAGGTTTAGAGAATCACGCCAGAATCGACATCAGTATTTGATCCCCTATTAAAGCAGGATACTATATTTTATAGGAGGGTTGGCAACCCTACAGAATCTGAATGACCTAAACATTCCGGTAAAGTGTCTGACTCCGAAACCTGCGCGGGCAACCAGTTGCCTGCTGCCACTACGGCCACCCTGCTTTAACTACACTGTTTATTTTTCGCGCTTGTTTTCAGATTCAAATTCAGACTCAGAAAACAGGCTCGTGAGATGTCAGCTTGAGGAAAGCAGGTGATGGTCACAGTGAAGGCAGATAATACAAGACGCGGACTCGAGCACTGTTGCCAGGTTGGGGGGGGGGGGGGGGGGGATTGTTACCCCAAATTTGGAGGGTTTTTAAAGCGATGGGAGGATTAATGGGGGAAGAAATTTTGTTTTGGGGGAAACAGGGGCTTTCTTTATTACATTTTTATATAAAAACTAGCTGACCCAGCGAACTTCGTACCGCCCTAAGAGAAGTTCAGTGACATACACACTCACAGAAGAATTATATATATAAAGATAAAACCACGTCATAAACTTTTAATCTGTAAAAAGTCGCAATCGACAGTCATTCGACAGTCTCTCTTATCCAAAAACTTAAATTGGGGGGTGTTTTCGCAGTTGTACACACGGAGGAGTTTTCTAATGAAGATCGATCGGAGAATATGAGGAATACCACCATTTGTTTCCCTAATTAAAAGTCGATAGGAAACGTTTCATCCAATATTTTAAGATGGAAGTGGAAACGTTCTAACTACTACATTTTTTAAAAAAATGGGTGCGTGTACTTATGTAGGCGCGTGAGAAGTTATCCTTCTTTGGCATCGTTTAAAATTAGTTTTTAATTGCATGCAAATAATTAATTACAATAAATTAATAAAAAGTCTGGAAAAGGACACAGTCAATAAAGTTCAGTTTTAATTTGAAAAAATAAATAAATAATCAAAATATTCAATTAAAATCGCTACTGAATATAATTTATTAGAACATATGTGATTTGCACTTGTATGAAACTCAAACACGTATTCCGAATATACAAACTAGAAACATGTGGATAAATATTATAAATATGAATACCTATAACTGTTACTTTATTACAAAAAATAAAGAAATGATGAAGAAAGAATGAAGATGTGGGTTTTGGTTCTACTACACCAATGGTCAAGAGATGGCGCTGTAGTCTCCTGAATCGCGCTTTGGTTCCGTTGTTCCAGATTAATAAATACTTTTGATAGGCCTTCACAATGCAGTCGTTAGCACCCACTAAATAGAGATTCTATTTCTGTTTTGTTGGTAGATTTTCTTAATGTGCGGTAAACACAAAAGTAACGCATGATGTTGGTCGCTAAAGCGATCAACTTCATGCTGTTAAAATTTTGTGTTACAGTGATGCGCGCGCATCTTAAAATTTCGCTCTCATCATTTTTTCATAACGCGCCTAAAGAAGTATAACTTCAAAAAATTGAACCTCACATGATGAAGAATTAACATCAGTCTCTCCTTTTCATTCTGTATAGAGAATGGCAAGGAAGCACTGTTGTCAAATTTAAGTTTAGATTTAGAGAATCGTCATCGTCGCCAGAATCTGTGTGTCTGACTCCAAAACCTGCGCGGGCAACCAGTTGCCTGCTGCCACTCTGGCCAGGGTGGCCTTAACTACACTGTTTATTTCTCGCGCTTGTTTTCTGATCTGAGTACACTGTGGCCGTACCTGTAGGGTGATAGAAATAATCAGTGTAGATAAAGCAGGGTGGCCGTAGTGGCAGCAGGCAACTGGTTGCTCGTGCAGGTTTCGGAGTCAGACACTTTACCGGAATGTTTAGGTCATTCAGATTCTGAATTCACCAGCGCCGCTCGGACTGCAGGTAGGGTGGCCGACCCTCCTATAAAATATAGTATCCTACTTTAATAGGGGATCAAATACTATATTTCTAAAAAATACGTAGTAAGCGAAATTACTAAATTTTGCTTAAAGCATATTTTAGACAGTAAAAGCTTTCTTAAAAATTATTAGAGATTGTTATTATAATATTAGTCAGGCAAAGAGCAACAAAAATATATTTATTTCAAAAATAAAGTAAAGCTTTCCGGTTAATCCGGACAGTCTGGTCCCATCAAATCCGGATTAGTGAGATTGTAATAAATTCTTACCTAATGGTTATAACAAGGCGTTCTTCTGGAAGAATCTTGTGTTTGTGCAAATCAGAATTGTTTCATACATTTCGTATCGTTAGAGTTAGAACGGTGTCGACACATCGCGACACACAAGTATAGTTCTAAGTAGTAAATGTATGAAACCGATCGCGTCACAACACAACACGTCAGATAAGTATTTTTCTGCCTTAATCCGTGAGCCATGTATGTGGCCTTGACAAAACCAGTTTTTGGTTTAACCTGTGACAGCAGCACACTGTGTCAGTGTGACAGAAGAAGATCACTTTATTTTAGTTTTAGTTAGTTTCGTAAAAATGGCGACTTTTCTGCCTCGTACATTTGGCCTCGCCGAAACTTATTTCCTAAAAAATGGAAACAAGGTAAATGAAACCATGCCTGTAACTCAATTTAAATATTTACTGTGTCTTGATTTCATTATAATCCAGATTTCAGAAGTTTATCTATTCAATAGGAAGGTTTATTTTATTTAATACACTCACAATGGGTCATATTTAATGCAATTAGAATGTTTTAAGATTGGCTTTTTACTTCGTTACCTGTATTTTCCGGATTAGATATTGACTTCTAATTATCAACTCGTATTTATAAATTTGACCTTGCCATTTTCAGCACTTGCCTACTGTTGTGACCTTACGTCATCGATAATGTATTACGATTTATGATTTTTGTAGTTTTATTTGTTATAATTAATTATGATCGTCCCTTAAAGTCTACTGTTCATTACAGACTTATTTATTGGAACCAACTGACATTGTCTTTTCGAGACTAACATAAACCCATCATATTAAATGTACTATAGGTATCTGCTATTGTGTAGGAATGGTTTTATCATTTTGTTGTATGTTAAATGGAAAATATTCCATTGCCTGGTAAATACATCTGTGCATTCATGTGTTTTTATAATTCCTCATAGGCGGCTCTTGATTTAAATATCCTTTTATTTCAATACAGCTGGCTGCAGCAACAGCTGCAAGCATTATACCAAGCAAACAACAAGTACGGAAACTGAATGTTCATGAATATGTTAGTTACACACTACTTCGGGATAATGGTATCCCAGTTCCTAAATTCAATGTGGCCAAGACCAAAGACGAGGCGGTAAAGTTTGCTCAAGAACTCAACTCACAGGACATTGTACTCAAAGCTCAGGTACTTATTCTAATAAGAAGTTAATTTAATTACCATGTCAATTGTAATGATTTTCTCCTAAACATATGTTAAATGGAGTAAATACCCAGGCTCACCTTTCCATTATATGTAATTGAGTTGCAAGCTGAAAGTTTTTGTCACGCAAAGTATTAACTATTAAAAACACGCACACGAAATCTTTTTTGGTGGAAACGAATAGAACTCGAGAAAAAAATTATTGAAAATTAATATTTTTGTAGGTTATGATTAAATTTTGACAACATTTTTTTTTTCTATGATAAATATAAGTTTATTATGTTGGTACTATTGTCAAAATGTGACAATTTACCGCCATTAATGAGATCTGTCAGTCAGTGTTTGTGTTTAAACTTGTTTTATTTAAACGGCTAAACTGTATATCTAAGGCCCAAGTGGTGATACTTCATACTAGGTTAGGTTAGTGTTGTGACCTTAACGCGCGAGCCGAGCGAGCGAAGCGAGTGTGCCGCGGCAGCGGCCGGCGAAGCGCCAGAAAGAAAAATTTGTTAATAGACTTTTTCTACAGAAAAATCTATTATCACCTATAGGCTCTGGAAGTACAGATTTACCTTTAAAACTCCTCTAATTTTTTATAATTATCATTTCTGTAAAAAAACGCCGGGAGGGGGGGGGGGGTTACCCTTCCCTCTGAGGGGTCTTCCCTAATACCTATCCCCCTGAAATTCCACTACATATAACAGATTTTATGAATTTTTAGGTTAGGTAAAAAAAAAAAAAAACTGCATTTCCGCCAAAACTCATTTATGGCGGGGGGGTCGGGGGGAGCCCCCCTCCCCCCCTACAAATTACCCCGAAATTCAATTACATATAATGGAATTAAGTACCCAATAATGTTTATTGTGGAAGTTTGTCTATGGTTTTATTAAACATGTTTTGTGCTACCTATGTATACCTTTTCTAATAAGTACATATCACTAATTGGGTAGAACTAAATCATGATTACACATCCTTCATTTATTTACAGATTATTGTTTATTGTTATTTAAAATATGTTAGTGCTCTGAAGGTTCAAATTTAAATTCTTAATACTGCTACTATATTAATGTTCCATACGGGTCATTCCATGTAATGTGTGTTACAGGTCATACACATGAATTAAACAGTGCTCTTGAAGGAAAATATGTTTTTTTTATTCTGAAAACACCTATCTTTTACATTGTATTTCTATTAAAATTTGACCCAAATTCAATAAACCATACAGAAGTATAAAAAAGCAAGCCAAATAAGGTGTAACGGGCCTTACATTATTTTGCCTATTAATTCTAGATAGGTTCACATGAAAGCACAGTCTAACAACTGTGCAAATAACTCCAGCCCCGTGATATGATTGATAATATAACGCGTTTTTATCACGTACAATTGTCAAATTATTATGGAGTTAGGCAATTTAATCTAATAAAAAACGTAATATAATGTAAATTGTAGGGCTCATGCTATGGGGGCTGATCTACACTTAAAACCATGGACTGACATTGTACAGATAACTGACCCTTTTAATAATATCTGTATAAGAAATGTACACGCATTGTGTATACAATATCGCTTGGACCTTTTTGATGCACTTTTATTAGGCAATTGGGAGTCTACTTGTTTTTATACATCAATATTATATGTTATTTCTATCCCTTTCCCAAGTATCCCTTATAGTATATAACACAGCCTTTACAATGCTTGCTTTAGGAAAAGGCTGATTGTCGTGTTTGGAATATTTATTTAATATATACATATTTAATACATATTTAATCACATTATTGAAGTATAAACTTATTCATATTCTTACTGATTTGTTTACTATTAACTGGACTTATATTCAAATATATTTTATAGGTTCTGGCTGGGGGTCGTGGTAGAGGTGCTTTCAAGAATGGTCTTAAAGGTGGAGTAAGAATGGTGAACTCGTAAGTCTACTTTATTAAGAAAAAATTGTTTACATAACTATTAATTGTTACATTTTCTTTGCACTTCTTGATATTTGAATATTTTCATTAAATTAATTTCACCAACAGCATTTTTACATCGTTACGATTAATTCAGATAAACTTAAAAAATATGGAAAATATATTTCAGATTCATTATTATAATTAAGTATCAACTGTTTAAGATTATTTTGTGAAGTAACATTATTATATTATTAAATAATAATAAATAGAATATTAGACATTAACAAATAAAAACTAATCTGTGTCAGGGCTGAAGTTGCTGGCGATATTGCTGGCAAGATGCTGAAACAGTATTTGGTGACGAAACAGACGGGTGCCGCTGGCCGCATCTGTAACATGGTTATGGTCACCGAAAGGAAATTCCCGCGCCGCGAATACTATGTAGCCATCATGATGGAGCGTAGCTTCAATGTATGTGTTATGTCTAAAAATATAATGAATAAAACTTCACAATGTAGTAAATAATCAATCAATATACTTTCCTTTTGCTGGCATGTTTTAAAACTGGTTAGTGCAAACTGGCATACAATAAAAAGTAGAATGAAATTCATTGATAAAACGCCTACAAAAGTTATAAGACCCAAATTATTACTGTACTGTGATCATTAATATAGTATTTGTTCAACTTAGGGCCCAGTTATCATAGCTTCATCTCAAGGGGGAGTTAATATAGAAGACGTAGCTGCTGAGAATCCCGACGCTATCACCTATGAACCTATTGACATCGTTCAAGGCATTACTACTGAACAAATTGATCGCGTAATAAAGAAGGTATGTCACTATTTATCATATCATGTCACTCGTGATTCATTTTAATTTAAAGACAATAGATATTAATCTTATCTTGCAGTAAAATATATTTGTTTTCTTATTTCTAGATAAGAATTATTATGAATGAGACCTCTTATTATACATAGAATGCTATTTCGTTTTAAATGAATACTGCTATTTATATCATTAATAAGTTATATAAAAATTTAATGTGGCATTTTTATGTGAAATTTATAAACAATATGGCAATAATTGATAAAATATACTTCTGGACACATCTATTGGTACACATAGTGTTATAAGTTTCAAAGGTCTGTAGCAAAAATAAATGTTTATAGTTGAGCAATAATATTAGAAACACACACATCAGCTTCAGAACAGTGTAAGGAATAAATAACTTTTTGCTCAATGTTACATTTATTTTTAGCTAGGGACCATATTTTTACCCGACTGCGCAATGCAAGAGCGCGAAGCGCGACGCGCAGACAGGGTATAGTGTTTGTTCCTTTGTGGCACGCTAGAGACCAAACGCGTGGACCGATTTTGATGATTTATACATCAATCGATTCGTCTTAATCATGGGAGTGCTACTAAAGATATGATAAAATTCAAAAATCAAAATGGAGACAACTGGGCGCCATATTGTAAGAAAGAAGAAAAAATAAGTTGCCGAAATATGTCGAGTGGGGTATCATTGTCTAGATAATCGAAAATCATGTTTAGGTTCCTCACACCATTTTTCATTTTATATGATTGTTTAGGATCTACAACGATTTAAAGTTGTATAATAACCACTTGCGCTTTTAATTTCAATCTTACGTTTGTATGGATCTTAGTAGCTCTTTCACTCAAAAAATACTAAAATCAAACTAACCAATAATAAAGCTCATACATAATAATAGCATATAGATTATAATTTATGTTGTTATTTAGTGAATTAGCCAAAATATAACAATAAGTGTCACGTGAGACGGAAAAAATCTCCCATCTGCGAGCCATTTTGGCCTGCACTGCAAAAACAATAAAAGTTACATGATTATAATGTATGGCGGAATTGTATCTCTTATATAGGTCTACAAAAAAGTCCAGGACAGCATATATCTATTTTTAATATGTAAGCCATTATAGCTAAAATAGTGAATCAAAAATAAAATATTATTTGAAATAAATTTCCAAAATGCATATTTTGTATAAACAAATTATTTTTTATCAAAACAAATACTTTTATCGCTTTTGATATTTAAAGACGATAAACTTTGCCCTTTACTCTGTGTAATTTCGACAAATATTTAAGAAGTTACAACGATGTTACGATGACAAAGTGATAGCGCGTTGTGCTATGCAGGAGTACGAGTATACTGCGGGAATGGTGGGAAAAGTGATGAATTTTGGTGTTTATAAATGTAGATAAAACCTAGGTGGAAAAGAAAAAAAATGGGCTACTCACAGTATCTAATCCTATACGAAATACTTACAATAAAACTGTGATAAAGTTCCTTCTTATTAAATGATGAAAAATAAGTTATCATAATAGGTATTTATATTTTTTTAAATTTAATGAAAAACTGAGAATGAAACGGTTTTCAAAGTTTATTTGAACAATATTACTTCATATTATTCTGCAGAGTATTCAGCAAAATTCGAAGCAAATAATATAAAGTTTTAAAGGTAAATCACCCCTTTCATCACCCTACCCCTATAGATATTTCAATAATCTAGCTTAGAACCAAGGCCCCATCTATTTCTATAGGGAAATTCATCATAATCGATTTAGCTATTAAGGCGCGGAATCGTAACAAACAAACTCACTTTCGCATCTATAATATTATATTATAATAGTGATCCGCTCCGACATTGCATGGGCGAAATTTATTTTAACGGGATACAATATAGCCTATGTCACTCGAATATAATGTAGTTATAAAGAAAAAAAAATACTAAAAAAATCCTCTAGAAGTTAGAATTTTTCAAGTAAAAGTTTCTTTATTTTTATAAATCATGCAGATTAATCAACTTATGGTGAATGAATTTTCGAGATCGGATCAGGTTTAAGATATTATTTGTTACACACATACAACTCTTGCCTCTATATCATACCTACCTATTAGTATAGATAGTTAGGATAATAATATTTAACCTCTGGCACCTACATATTTGGTTCTGTTAATTATGTAAGTAAAACAAATTATGAGACAAGGATATGCACTGCATTCGTGTATATCACAATCTTAAGAGTTGCATACAGCCACTGCCAATTTTAGATAGTCCACGAATAAAAGTATTTTTTTTTTATTTACTACTAAAAAGAACATAAGCAAAAGATGACTTTTTGAATAAATACGGAATATAAGTACTAGTTAGGTATATAATTTATATTCATTAGATATACGGATAAGGAATTGATTTAACTTTACACATTTTTGCGAAAATTGAGGCCCATAAGGCCTTGACCCTGATGGTAAGGTGACGTTTAGACCACCGCAAGGTACTTAATAATCCGCTTGATATTAACTCCCTTATTGAAGTGACAAGACTGCAGTATATACCGTCTTATAATCCTAACTAAAAAGTGTAAAATAAAAAAGGTAAATTTATAAAATCAAAAAACCCGACTGCTTAAATATTACTTCAATCAAAAACTGAAAAGAAAAAACTGGACTTGCCAGTAGTCTATAATTCTGATAAGTAAGGAACAAAGCTACTTTAACAGTCGGGACCCATTATTGAAATAAATTGATCCATCGTTGAATATCTAATGGGCCCCGATTGTCAAAGTAGCTTTGTTCCTTACTTAACAGAATTATAGACTATGTAATATTAAAAAATAAGTTTTTGAAATGGACAGGCCGAAACCAATTAAAAAAGAATATTCGGGCGCCTGGACTGTACCATATTATAAGCCGGGAGAGCATAGGAATATTAATCGCAAAGGGGGCTTAATGCAAATCCATATTCATTTTGGGTTGTCTATATATTGAAATTTTAAGTCCAAAAGGGTTAAATCTAAATTTAGAAACTATTATATACTGTGATGCTACTAAGAATTAAATGAAAATTTACCTTATTATTAGAATGTTACCGACCTCGCTGCATCTGATCTGGGTAGTATATGTCTGGTGTTGTAAATATGTAGGGGATGGCCGTTTTTAGATCCCGTGGGTTCACCTCTACCTCATGGGAAATGAATGAAATTTGAATAAAATATCCAAATGAAAAATCCAAATAAAAAAAAACGCTTTTCGCTGAAAACGAACATTCCTCAGATTAGCACATGGCTCACAACAAAGGAAAAAATGTAAATCTAAGGAAAGCACTAAGGTTCTTACCGTTTTACTAACAAATTAAGCTTGAGGTATGGCCATCGCCATTTTGTACGAATGATGCAAAATGTTTCATCTGAAAACAAAATTAATCCTCATGTAAATCATTGAAATATATGAATTAAAACACTTTTCGAATTTGGAAAAACACTTACCATTAAAAACAATCAATAATATAAGGGATTATCAATTAAAAAAATTGGAATACGAAATGACCATCCTTTGGTCAAAAAATTACGTCGTGAAGTGAAGTGACAGTGTTTTTTCTTAAGTTTGTTTTCTCTTGCCGGTAGGCAAAGAGAACAACGTCCATCCAGCCTACTGCTTGATAAAGTTAGCAACATAATTATTCAAAAGTGCACAGATTACAGAAAATGGGCGCGAGATAAAAACAACCAGAGAGACAACCAAAAAAAATCTTCTATCTCGCTCTTCGAGCGAAGGAGATCCATGTGACGTTTTTAACACGTTACATTTCACCCTTCCCCGAATAAAGCATCGAGAATCGAGGCGGAAGAAACTACAGCTAAACTTCAAATACTAAAAGCCAAAACGAAATCCGTCGAATTATGGATGAAAACGAAAACCCAAAGTGAAAAGAAAATAACTTCAAATAAAGTTACCCAAATACCAAAACATCATCAAACTATAGAGTCCTTGGACAAAAAGTCACAAGTCTCAAAACAAAAGCTGTTAAACTAAATTAGTCACAGACCCAAAATTATTAAAAACCTAAAGCAAAATGCTCCAAAATAAAAGCATGCAAAGCTTACTACAAAAAACTCAACCACTATCATCATCATTATTGAGATTTGTCAGACATAAAAGTCGCAGACTCTAAAAAATCTCTAATTCAAACTACTCTATCTAAACCCTAGAGAGATCTGTTGGACATCTAAGTCGCAGACTCTAAAATTTCCTAAACTAAAACTCCTTCAAAACCTAAACCCCTGTGAGATCTGTTGGATATTAAAATCGCAGACTCCTAAAATTTCTTAAACTACTACTCTACTACTCTTGACATTAATTTCTGAAGGTCTGTTGGACAACTAGGTCACAGACAGAAAACTACAAACTACACCTACTACCAACTCTTGGGAGATCTGTTAGACAACTATGTCGCAGACTCTAGAAAAATCCCACCCCAGTACTGCTATACTAGAAAGTCGCAAGTACTATTAGTTAAATCCCCAAAAAAGTTCGAGATGAGTGGCAAAATTGACACTAACTCATTTAAGTCACAATCATGGTCGGCACAACACCACCGGCTTTCCGAACATGATGTGCAAAAAGCGTCGAGAACAAACAGTTCGACAAAAAATGTAATGACGAAAGTCAAAACAGCAAAAAAAATTTGGCGAAAACCAAAACGTGACATTCATGGCCGACTCAACACCAACGGCTTTCCGGAGATGAAGCACCCAAAACAAAAGTTGTGACTACATGATCGGCACAACTCCACCGAACTCCCGAGCATGAAGCACAAAAACAAACAATTGATGTCCATAAATATGGGCAAACAAAATACCAAAACAATATGGCAAAACCAAAAAAGCGTCAACAATGTTGAACAAAAAGTCGAAATTGCAACTTCATGATCGGCACAACTCCACCGAACTTCCGAACATGATGTGCAAAAACAAAACAATTGATGTCCAGAAATATGGACAAATAAATTAC